TTCAAATATTTGCTAACTTTATATACCGTGCCAAGTGGGCACTTGAGATCTATAAAAAAATCTAATGCCATTGAACTTATATTACCATCTAGTTGACATGTCATCGCCCGCACAGTTTTTATTAAATTTAGTATGTTTTAAAATATTTATTTAGTATTTTCTCTTTGCATATGAATTAATTCAATTTACTGATTAACGATTTGACATTGTACCTTGTGACATTGATAGAATTGATTCTGTATAATTTTTTTCGCAATCTATACATCTATACATATAAATAAAATTGGACTGTCTGTTTGTAATATTGAAATAACCGCCTTTTACTACATGCATACACCAAAATTACATTTTTTACAATTTTTGTCCGTCTGTTTGTTCCGGCTAATCTCTGAAATGGCTGGACCGATTTTGACGGGACTTTTTTGATAGGTAGCTAATATAATAAGGAGTAACTTAGGCTATTTTTATTTTAGAAAAAATGTTTTATTTTAGAATAATAAAGTTAAATTCCACGCGGACGAAGTCGCGGGTACAGCTAGTGGTAAATAAAAACGCATTTAAAATTAAAATAATCAGTTGAAATTAGTACAATATTAGCAAATTTCTTATTTACACAGTAATTCCTGTTATAAACAGAAGGAATAAAAAAAAAACAATGGAATCTATCAATTTCCATTTATGTGATAGTTATTTAAAAAGTGTAACCCGAAGTGTAGCCAATTGATTGTTTGGTCTTTTTTATGTCTTAGTCACCTTCTACTAAAGTAAAGTAAAACCTTTAAAATATATAATATTTAATACTTGAAGGCCTTTCTAAATAAAATAAATACAAAACCTTAAATAAAATTAAACCTTTGTAACACAAATGTATTAGCCAAAAGAATATTTATGAAGATGACGTGAAAGCATTTTCATGTTCTCTTATTGAGCAATTGGACAATACTTTTTGACATATATAACGACACACTAGTCTTAAAACTGTCACGTTATAGAAAAAAATATATTATGTGTACATTAACATAAGCTTATGGATTATGCTGTCAGCTAATCGAGACGAGACAGCGATGGACGACGATGAAAATACGACGGGTAATGCCAAAATTGAATATAATCTCGTATAGTCTACTATTTAAACCAATAAGAAAGTCGTATCACATTAAGGTTAATAAAATATCTCGCTTCGCACGTTCAATTACTCTAATTGCGTATATCAATACGTGCAATTGTTCAATTCTATTCTTGCACATCAAAATGTATGAACAACGATTCTTCCTTATCGCCTTATAAATTTTGTAGAGATATATTATTAAGTAGCTAGCTAGCTGTTCCCGCGACTTCATCCGCGTGAATTTAAATTTCTTTTTCTAAAATAAAAGATTTTTTCCAAAATAAAAGTAACCTAAGGTACTCCTTATTACATCAGCTACCTGCCTGCATAAAACTCCCGTCAAAATCGGTTCAGCCATTTCAGAGATTAGCCGGAACAAACAGACAGACAGACAGACAAAAAATGTAAAAAAAAATATTTTGGTATATGTACCGTATTTATATTCAAATGCATGTAGTAAAAAACGGCTATTTCAATATTACAACCTATGCGTGCAAATCTGTTTGTTAGCATGGTGTAGTTTAGTTCAAATATTTTTCTTAGCGAATACATTTTATATATTATATGAAATAAACTTATATTTAATTTATACCTGTGATAACGGTATACACTACCGCGGGACCAGTGGTATAAAATATAGGACAAGTATTAAATCAGGTCAGTTAGCCCATCAACATGGCGAATTAACCACGATTGTTTCCACGAGGTCTGCGTGAAGCTCAACCTGACATGACATTGCTAGCAATAGTGTCACTGGTTCGCATTACTGACAATCCCTTACTACCTCATAGTTTAGAGGTTGATATGGTTTACCTGCTTAAACCTCTACCAGTAAAATATCTTATTGCTAATAAAAAATGAATGAATTGGGCCACCCACCGCGGTATAAGAAATATTAGTGCGGAACTGACATTACGACTAGATTATTACAAATTTTTATTGTTATTGCACAAATGATTTGCATGAGGTGGTAGTTATAATGTCACAGCATGAAATCACGAATGTAACAGAACAAAATAAAATACACGCTTTATATCTTTGCATAAAGTACAAAATTCAACTTCCTCAAACTGCATAATGTACCTACTCAACAATTTTTTAAGTAAATAGCTGATAATACACATTAAACACTCAATAAAATTAAATACAAATCACCTAAAATATATCAAATAAAAACTAACTTCAATTGAGATGACATTATTATACGATCTACATATGACTCGGGTTAAAGCAAGTCGATGAAAAAACGAATAATTAAAATAGAATCTGTACATTATTATAATATAGAATCTATAATCTACACACATAAAAATTTGACCTCTACCGTTATTATACAGTAGAGGTCAAATTACTGTACATAGAAAAAAGATGTTTAAAACACAGTGAGAGGGATGTTAGAAGTGAAGTAGAACACATTTAGATTTTCTACAAATTTACTGTTTTTCTGACTGATTTCTGTCTGCTTGTACAAGCTAAAATTATTTATAATTGACGCCTTCTTCTTTCTTAAATCGATTGAAAATTATGTCATTTGTCCTAAAACCACGCACATACATAATTAAATATATTAACTACCGGTTAAAGTCGTAAATAAAACTGGGGCTTTGTAAACGCAACATGCACTCGCAAAACCGTAGCTAATCAAATTTTATTTCATTTGTTCCTTGTTTAAATGTTAAAAGCCAATAATATGCGTGTTTCATGCTTTTGTCATTTGTTTGATAGTTATGTAAGTAGCCAGTAAGGTTAAATCCTAATGATTAATGTCCAAAGCTGATATTATTTTTTAAAGTACATATACTTAATTCTGTTGTAACCGAGAGGTCCATTCATATGTCTAAATTTGCTAGGGAAATAGTAAATATTGAATTTAAATTTTAATGTCTTAGCTAGACAACAAATTCAAATGTAAAATTAATTGAGGTAGTTTATACAAATTCGTTCTCGTGAGAACTCCAGTATAATGTGTGTGTCTTACCAGTCACCTAGCTGTGCCCGCGGTTTCACCCGCATATTTATAGCTTATGTGTTCTTTTGATATATGACCTATATTATTATATAGTATCATTAAAATTTGTTAGTAATTTTTAAGTGGAAAATAACAAATAATTATTAAGATCAAGTGAATGACCAGTTTGTTTGCCATTCTAATCACAGAAACAAAAGCAAATTACTACTAATATTAATGTTAAAATTGTTGTACCATAACCTGGACTAATATAATTAATCCTTTAATTACACAAAGTCACAGGACAGATAACTAATACTTACTTTAATAATAAAGGAACTTATACAGCTAACATCAGATGTATATAAAAAAACTCTGGTGTTTTAATGAGTAATAAAGTCATCACTCGCATTGATGTTATTGTATCCCATTGGAATGTATGGAAGAAATAAGAAAATACATACAGACATACACTGTATCCTCTGTGAGCTATTAGCCAACTGGCGTTTACGAAATTAACACTATTATCTTCTTCCGACTTTGAGAGATGGATTCATACAACAGATAACCAACTACTAAGCAAGTTATTTACGTAATAAAACTCTGATATTTGACGTTGTAATCCTTTATATCTTTGTAAAATTTAGGAGTGAAAGACTAAAATGCATACTGTTAAATTTGACATTTCGAACAAAATAAATAATGTATACTAATATTTTATTCGTAAAGTAACGAAATAGTAACTAAAATTATTGAAATTTATGACAATAGTAAATGATTATTGTATAATCCTTTTAACTTTATTTTATCCTAGCGCGCCCAAGAGACATCATCCTATCCCAAAAAACAGAGTCACCTACCGTGTCGAACTATATTTACAAACTATCCAGGAACCCATTGAAATTTTCACACATAGTTTGGGAGAAGTTAGGTGACAAACATGCGTACAGATGAATTATAATACTTATCTGTTATGAATATGACTTGACATTTTAGAAAAATGCAATAACAAATTGTTATCTTTTCCATACCATTGTCCGAGCACGGTCCGAGTTAACTCGTTGTGTTATCGTAGAGCTATTAATCAACTCTTACGCTTAACTTTAATAATTATAATTAATAATTTTATCACCTATTCAGTCGGCCGGCGCCCGTCTCTGCGCCTGCGCATGACAGCGACGGATACGAACATTTTAATGACCACCGATTTATCAAAGATAATGAATAATTTGCTTTTAAACAGTTTATTTGGTTATCTATAGTGTGAATTAATTGTTATATTAATGTCAATGAAATTATCTCATTCAATGCATTCAATACATAATTTAATAGTAATACGTGGATAAATGGTGTAAAAGATGTATAAAAGGACAGTAAACTGAGATTTGACGAGCGATAGGGATCAGTGAAAGATGTTGACAGACCTTGTGATGAAGGCAAGAAAATGATTACAGTAAAATTACGAATATATTATTATATAATAGCAATGTTTCTTGGTGTATAACTGCAGCATCTATGTCATGGGCTAAACATAAACTGCTTGATACCATTGTTTTAGTATGGTGAATAAGCTACCACTAAAAAGGTAGTAAGTTGAAGTTGTGAATGCAAATGTGGCACGAATGAACATATGTATAAGCTATTTCAACTTCAACGAGCTACATGGACATACAAGGACATATACCTTTCTTTCGATGTTCCCGGGTTCGATACCTGCACAATACACTTGTTTTCATGGGCATCTCTTTTTTTATGGTCTGACTGTATTATGTACGTATTTAAGAAAAAGTTATTTATTACTACTATTATCTGACATCCAGCTCAAGATCAAACTCAAAATACATAACATGGATTGGAACTAAGACCCATATTTAGTATTTTTAATAGATATTTCTGATAGAGAAGTCAGTTTTCAGTAAAATTATAGACAATATTCGAAACAATAACTTAAAATATAAAAAAAAAGCAATTACCATTAAAATCAATTAACTAAGATCGTCTTCCTTGTTTTTCGCTTTTTTAAGTAATGAGATAATCAGGAAATACAATTTCCTTTATTACTTCTAATAACTAAGCGGGCTGGTTCAAGTAAGAAATAGCGAGTGTGCAAAATATTTGATATTTCTAGTATCGTAAAACAGTAGTTTCCGGTTATACTGGAAGTGCTGTGTCCAGGTAAGGGCTTCACGTTAATTATTCTATCTTGATGCAAATCTAAGTTATTTATCTCTTATCTTTCTACAGTAGAAACATCTCTATACAGCAGTTTTGTAACTAATGAAAACAATAAATTGATATTTTTTTCTTTAAATATTTTTTTAAAATTAATAACCTTAATAAATTATAATATAAGAGGAGCATAATTATCAAATTCAAGACGTATGGTCCTTTGTATAATCCTTATGTCTTTATTGTCAATTCTGTGGAATGTCCAAGATATATGTGTAATTAAATTTATAAAAGATAAACAAAAATTGCTGCACTATATTCGACGTTCGATTCTCAAAGTGATGCATTTCATTTTAAAAAGTTTTTAATAGCCATCGCAAACCATGTGTACCTACATGTTTTTATATTTATACATTGTTTTTTTACACATGATTGTTTTCAAAAACTGATATATACTCGTTTTTGCCCGTATTAAATTATGTCGAATTTGTCCTAAATTCACACAAGGTTGAAGACCACATACGTTGATAAGTTCTATATTTAATTAATTATTAGACTGTATCATTTGTAACAAATTATAACACTTCGTTGTTATTGAATTAGTTCTATATAAGTTAATTGGTGTAATATAAATATACTATTATAGATACTATACAGATAAAAAAATATGAAGTGATATTTAGTTATTTATCATCGATACCTATTTTGCAAGCAATAAAAACATAAACAGTAAAATATGAGTATCTCTGTTCCAAGTAAACAAAACCAAGTGACGTTCTCCTATATGTACACTGTCAAATTAGGATCATATAAATATTTTAAATGTATTTCGAGATCAGATTTTGGATTATGAAGTTTTTACAGAAACTGCTGATTGACGAGTAAACACCACCTATTAGTAAATAGATGACCAATTGTAGTATTTTATTATTATCACAAGGTTATCAATACATAGAATAAAATAATGAAATATCATAAAGTGGCATTTTTATATGTACCTATTTATACTATGTTTTATTTAGTATTTAAGTTGCAGTCTCCTCCTATATCATGATAATAAAGTCCTATTAACAAATTACCATAATAAACATGTTTTACTTGTATTTCTATTAATTATTAAAATCGTACCCATTACTCGAAAGCCTTAATTCATTGTCATTACATGTGTTCATTCTTCGAATAAAAAAACGTCTGATAAAATCAACAAAACAGACACATAGGTGTACCTATGTGTTACAATTGATTGTACTAGATTTTAAATGTACAGGAAGCGTAATCAATTACATTTAACCATTATAATATAGATCAGATCAGATACGGTTTGTACATCTGTAATTGTCAAATGAAGCATTGTTAATAGCTACCATGTATCTACCAATTTACTAATTGGTTTTAAGAATTGTAGATTACTTTAATCTATTAATGTATCTAGGCATAGAGAGAGATACTGACTGATAATTCAAACTGCTGGATTTGTAGAGTAAGTCGGAAAGGGTAAGATGATAATGATAATAATATTTTTTTTAATATTTACTTTAACATGCTTACGGGATAAAGAACTATTCTATTATGAACTCTATTGTGATAGGTAGTAAAATAATATTATTGGACACTTTTTGATCTTTACTTTTATAGAATAATTTGCTTTTGGAAACGAAATTACTAATAAAACTGAATAAATTATTCTAAAGAAAATGTATATTTCTTACAATACTACAATTCAGGTAAAATTAACTAAAATAAACAATTTTACGATTATGGATACCGTAATTATCAGGTCTAATTTAGAACCATCCGAAAAACTTGTGAAATAGTACCTGCGTACTTCATAATATTTTTTTAAAGCAAAGTGGAATTTATTATAATTGCGTTAAATGAAAAAACAACAGATGATCGCGCTATTCATATAAATGTATAAATACTATTATTAGGCTGCAACTTCGTGAACTAATTTAGTGTACGTCTATGAATAAAAAACATTATTTTTATTCATGGTTGTAAATATGTATGAATAAAGAGTTTTCTCCAAATTTCTACAGTTCCCGAATTATAGGCTTCAGTGTCATCTAAAACGTAAGTAGTTCGTAATTATATTTATAATTACTAAACACAGTAATTATTTAAAGTCTTACGCAGTCTAATATTATACGTTGACAACTTATTATAAATTTCACCACGAAAGTTAGGACACAGTGGCCAGTTGCTGGTGACATAGAATTCAGGCCTCGGTCGGATCTGGATCGCCCACTGATCGTCCATGCATTCATAAATATCGACCACGCCATTACACAATTTAGATTAACACTAATGGTGTGCGGAATTAAAACACTGAACATTTCGAAAGAACGCTGATAAAATTGTATGGGAATGTTATATTGAGAGTGGAAACTACTTCAGTTTAAACCATAATACATCGGTACAAAATCAGTGAACTACTTGTTGGGCAATAGGATCATGACCCTATAGTATACGTGTATACATAGAAATGGAAATGTTTGGATTTATTGTAAAATAAATTTACAGGCTTTTTAACCGTAGAAACAGAAGTAGTCAGGGCTATCTCGGCGCATTATCAAAGGGGTCCAATCATAAAGTACTTAATTACATCACACATCAATCACCCCCTACCCCTCCTTCGATAAAGTGGTATGTTATGTGAAAAGGAGTGGAAGAGGTCTCCTATGTCATGATGTCATTGAAATATGACATCATGACATAGGAGACCTCTCCCAATCGAATGTCGAATGTAAAATAAATATTGAAAATTTGTAACAGATATGATTTAAATATGGAATTGAAATAATTAAATATCTACATATATATATATATATATATATATATATATATATATATATCGTATGCGAATAGATATATACCTACTGATAAATATAGAAAACCAAATAGGTATAGATAACCCGCCATTTCATTATTATCATTTTTAAATTATTTACACAGGATATTTTGCACCTTATTCTTAATGTGTGAATCGATAACATTATTTACACATATTGTTAGTGTGTCTGTACAAGTAGGTTTACGTACTTGGTATATTGACACGAAATTACCTGCTATGGAAACATTGCACTTACTAATTTCTTTTAGTTATTTTTTTAAATAAGCGAATTAGTTATTACAGTATATTTTTAAGGTTTTTAGTTTTAGGTTCATTGTTCTAGTATATGTATATTTATTTATTTCCGTATAAATAAACTACATATATTTATATATATTACAATTGTTATTTCCAAATGTTAAAAATTATATATTGTAAGATTCTTGTTATATCCTTTGATAAAAATTTATATCGAGTATTTTAATGATAAGCATGGAAATCAAACTCTCGTGATTGATTACCTGCTGACTTGTAACAGAAAGGATATCTGCATGTAATTAAATTAAATTAACAGCTTTATAGACGTCACAAATGCTCGAAGTTCTTCTGCCTTTTATAGATCCTACACTATGCTTCTATAATTTTAATCACTCTTGTATAATTTACTATCAGTAATCATATTAATATGGTTAACACAATTACATATTTTGAAGGTTCAATAACCTCTGAAATTGTCTTATTCTGCTACTGACGTACTATTCCGAAGAAACGCTGATGCGGAGATGATAATATATATAATAATAATTTCAGTAAATTTCTCCATAACAATTTCACATGTATGGAATTTCGGGCTCGGTGGTCTAGCGGTTTAATTCCGATGGTCGCGGTTTCGATTCCTCGCACGGTCATTTTATATATAAGTATGATTTGGTCTTATTGTTTTCTTTATGTATTATGTATTTATTTACAAAAAAAGATCTATATATTTAAATCAGTTGTCTAGTATCCATAACAAGATCTACTTCACTTGGGGCTGGATGGCGCTCTGTACATTATCCTGACATATTATTTTAATGGCTCATGAGTATCGGCTTCCCCTATATGGATGAATACAGCTTTAATATATGACAGTTTGATAACCGTAACCGAAATAGCTGGACCTAATTACACTCATTAATACAAAGAATATAAAGATCATAAAACAAAACACTGTCTAAGTTCTATTAACATTCAAGACAAGCTGTGTCCACAACTCCATAACCTGTAGGAATGCAATGTACAGTAAGTGTTAATTAACAGTCATAACTTTTAGTATTGTGAAATTTTTATTTTTTTATGACTTGGTGCCAAACGGTCTCTCTGGAATTTTGAATTATACAAAGTTATGTCCTAGACATTAGAAAAATATTATAGCTCAACGATACATAATGGACAGATTCAATTGGATCATGATTTTGATATATATCGAATAATGTCAGTTAGTTTCTATCAGTCAGTTAGTAATAACATTTTTTTTATATATAGGAAATATCAAACATGCTGTCGTCCTACTATACAGTAAATAGTAACCGTTTCCTCCTGCGTGATCTTTCCGGAGCACTAATACAAATATATCACATCTCCGTACTTTGTAGTGTCACTGTCTCGCCCACTAATTGAAACATAGTTTACAAAGCAAGCTGCTTGGTGATTGTCATAGCCGCGATAGGGGTACCCAGATGATTTCATAAAAAGTCTGGTGGGCTAATCGGCTTATAGTAAGTATTTTATGGACAATTAGTCAAGAAGGCACTGATTAATGAAACCTTGTAGGGAATTCGCTTTAAAAAGTATATACTTTTAAGTCGTTTACTATATTCTCGGCAAAAATTTAGGCTTTAGATGGTAGGCGGAGAGAACTGAGTGCCGATGCCTTCTATTCTTATTGCAACACCACATATAGAACTCTGAGTTCACAATTTTATTGTGACAATTTACCCCTTTATTTAAAAATATTTATAAGTGACGAGAGTTGTAACTCGCATTTTCAGTATCCTTTGTTGCTAATATATCTATTACTGACATCTCTAGAATGATGTTATTTATGTAGTAACGTCATTTTATACTTAATATTTTTCAGTCATTCTATTCTTGTTCTATCTGAAAATCTTCACATTAAGTGGAAATAAAAATTGAGGATTATAAAATCCTTAAATTTAAATTTAGTTTATTAAAGTTTATGTATTCTATTTTGTCCTCTAATAATAAAAAATCTGGCAAAAAGTCGGCAGTAGAAATACATACATACAGCATCTGATGTCGTCTTCCGGTAAGCATCAACAAAAACCTATTCATTCACAAATTCTATTCTTTCACTCACAGGCTTCCAATTAAAATAAATGTAAAATTATTTAATAAATTTAAAATGAGCCGTAAATCAATATTTTCTTTTACTAAAGAAGACTACTAGAATTTCCTAATTTAAATAACAGAAATAATCGGTATGAAATAAAGAACTTACCATTTTATTTGTCTAGATAAATATTTGTACATCTCTAGATAAAGCTTATGGGAGCATAAATAATATTTACAATCAAATAATGGTTATATTTTGATCATAAGTATTAAAGCCATTAAATAAATCATAAATACCGTGTCTTATGGCTGTAGTTGACAGCACTGGATCTATTTAGTAGTGCTCACGTATTTTACGCAAGCTATGATACAATGCCTACTTACTATTAATACAGGAATATTTAGTAGTTTATGATATTTCCGACTAGGGATTATACTTAATTTAGATGATCAATAAGAAAACATATTCCGCCACTTATCTGGCGATATCTGTTTTCTTATTGATCAACTAAATTAAAAATATACCTATGTGTATAATATGTTTTTCTAATGTAACTGAAAATGCAAACAAGCTGACAGTCCATCTGATGGTAAGCAGTACCGTCACCTATATAGGTATACATGAACAGAACTACGGATTTCGCATTATTATGTAAAACCTGTAACACCTCTTAATGGTAACCATTCCAAAGTACTAAGATGCCTCTTATACTGTAATTTCGCTGCCTAATCGTACTCTACAATCAAAACACAGCTTAGAAGTAAGCTGGTTGACGACTGAATTAGGTAAAAGTGAAGTATCCACGCAAACGGCTTTCAACAGTCTTCCTCCATGCTGCACATGTTAAATTTTACTAAGTGCAGTTAAGTCATAACCCCATTTAATGAAATAAACTCACGATAATATTAAAAAGTATTTTGAGACAGACTTCTTAACATTCCATGAACTCGCCGTGCTAGTTGGGTAACCATAAAATCAAGGAGTGAAAATTTGAGTAGATTAATAGATTTGTGACACGAGTGTAAGTGTAGATTTATGTTACTCTACAGATGGATATTAACATGTAATTAATAATATTACTTGATATGTAGATACATGCATTATAAAATATTTAAATCTAATTATGTGTGCCACAATAGTAGGCATAACTAAAATAGAAAAGAAAATATTTGACTACAAACATATGGCATACTCACATTATAGATATGAAAAACAGTAAGGGCCCTTGAAGTACCATGTTGTTGCGAAGCTATATGATTTCCCACACGTGTATACGATCAACGATCGCAAAAACTAATATCACTTCTAAAAAAACAAACGTCCAATGTATTAAGAACACTGAGTCATACTAGTCACACCATTGACTTATCACTATTGATGGGCAAATAAATACGTATTAGTTGATTGAACTTTTATAAACAGTTTCAAATTTAAGGCACATTTTTCCAAGCTTCATGTTACACCATCGCAGTTCATTTTCATAGTTGACTATCCAAACAACAGCCGAAGATCTGCAAAGAGAGGAAATTAGTAAATTATTCACATCGGAAACTTAATGCAAAAATAACGAGAATAATAAACGCTTGCAATAACTTAGATGGGACAGGCATGATGCCGGAGGCGAGATACACAATATTCTGATACACAACCACCACAGACATGTTGTAAGCACGTCTATAAAAAACACATTATGTTCAGACGGCTCAGAATATATGTTTATTACTAATTTCTCCATTATATCAAGTATAACCAGAAAATAAATGTGTGATGTAAAGTCCTACAATGTTTACATATTTGTAATCCTCAGCCTTTTGATGACAATCCCAAATCCTAACTTGGTCCTTATGATATAATTCAGAGACGAACTGAGAATGTCAAGATACCTTGCTTGGTATCTCCCTTGAGGAAGATTATATTACACTTCTCTGTTCTGCTTTTTCCAAAAAAAATCTGTTTTTAATAATTATTGCACATTATACCTACCATCGTACTAATCTATCGGCTGGGATTATGCTATACATTGGGACATTACCATGTGCATTGCCACATCAGATTGTAGAATAAGTTTCCACCGAGGTTTCCCAAAAAGATAAAATGTCAATTCCTACATTTCTAAGGGCCTACGTGATACTAAAACAAAAAGCAAATTCCAATATAATAATAACCCGTGTATCTATATCAAGCGTCTTAGTTAGGAACATTGAAATCTTGTAATACGTGAGCGCGTGTTGAACGATCTGATTTAAAAATAGAAAAAAATCTCGACAACCGCCAATGATCGATCAATTTCTGACGTAAAACAAATAACTCAGCCTATAAATCGTGCCTCTATTCAATTGAAGTACTCGGTTTCCCACACGATCTAAGGAGAATATTTACTAACTTGCATTATAAATTAAATATTAATAAACTTAAAAGAAGAATATTTGATGAGCAGACAGCGATTTAGATAAACTGCTCTGCTGAAATAATATATAACGAAATCCCGAATTAGTGAGGATTTGGACCAGCATGTAATACTATACAAAATGTACAAACATTTTATATGTATTAATGTCTAATAATTTATTTATATTAAAAAAGCAGATTTCTTTAATTGACAATTCAATTACATTCTGTTATTTTTTAAAGACGACTCAAAGTATCCTCCTAAGTTTAAATTACCAGTTTATTTAATACACTGCACATGCACCAATGAATATCTGCACCTAAAATTTCGGTCAAGTAAACGTTTACATAATTTCATCTTTATTAATTATAATTTTGTAGATTGTTCATATAACTTTCTGACTTATTTTTAATTCTAGAAATATTCACACTAAATATGTAGTTATGAAATTTATCAATTTGTTTGATATTCTAACGTGAGGAGGAATTGTTAGTAATGGATACAGATGGCCTCCTTTACCGACATTTTAACAGGTTGACATCGACGCGGTCTCTGCAGTTATGTTCTCATGAGTTCATGATGAGTTAACTAATCTCCTATCAATGTAGGCTCATTGCTCCTTTAGCGCAAATCATTAGCGCATGCGGCTCTATAATTAAAAAAAAACATATTCCTATAATTATGTATTATATAATCACGTAAAGATTACGTTTAATGAGTAATTAATTAATTAAAATATAATCAATTTAAATAATTACTTTATTGTCAATTAGATACATTGTCAAAACAAGAACAGAAAAACTTAGTTAATAATACATATATTAAAACGGAAAAAACACTTATATAGTTGTTAATCTATTCGTTAATAAAAAAGTCTACGATGATAAATGAATGGTCGACTATTAAAAAATCAAAATATAGTCCGTTGGTATGATTCACTCTGTATATTCACTGCTGTGTGATATTTTGATGGTCGCACAATAGCAGTACTTGTTAGCTACTCCAGTAATAGCTACTAGCAGTAAAAACATAATTAACGAGCGAGTACCCACTTCTTTTAGTTAGACACTTCATAACTGAACAGATTTGTCATTATAAATACTTCCAAATATTAAATATCGGCTGATTACTTCTACAATATAATACTCTTATAATCTTAAAGAAAAAACAAAATATGATAACGAAGGACAAAAGAGATACAATATACAATACCTGCAACACATCTTTATGTCACGCTGTAAGGTACTACAATACCGTACAGATTATTTATATACTCGTAATACAATGACAATTGTAGCATTTGGTAGGAATAAGGTCGTAAAATGATTTAGATTTATATATACCTACGTATGTAGATACTAAATAATATTATTCTGTCAATACTGAATACAAAGTTTTCCTGCTGCGTTACTGGTACATAAAATACAAGCTACTTTATCTGTTAATGCATCTTTCTACTGGTAAATGAATCTTTAAATCATATTAAGTATAATGTTTCATGATTTTATTTATTGCAAACAATAAATCAAACGATAATAGTTTAGATTAAATAGCATGAATATTTGAGTTGCTACCAGAAATATTGTATGTAATTTAGTAGTACTGAACTAAATACCAAATTCGTATAAATCGCGATCATCAAGTGCGGCGCTGGTCATCGTACTGGCGGACACGAGCCAGACGATCCGCCTTGACAGGTGAGACACCGTCAACTTAACGCCAGTCCCAACATTCTATTTCTGTCTACCGTGAATAGTTCCACTAACATTGGGTCCGTTTTCTGGGTGGTCAATATCCATTTGCATTTCTCGTCTTACTTCTCTTCCATTCAGGGATTCCATTTTCAAATTGTTAGTTTTGTATTTTTTAATTAATTAATGCACCAATTGCTTGATTCGGTATAAATATCGACGGCTTCGGTGGTCTAGCGGTTTACTTCCGATGGTTGCGGGTTTGATTCCTCCCACGGTGCAAACATTTGTATTCATGAATACTATTGTTCGACTGATAGTCGGGGTGTTTTCTACGTATGTTATATATGTATTACAAAAATATTATCTAAGTATTTATATCAGTTATCTAGTACCCATAACACAAGCTCTGCTTACCATGGTACTAGATGGCGCTGTGTTGTCCAGGGTTATTTATTTATTAAATATATTTATCAATGCTATTTGAGTATAACAAAGATGTACAAAAATATTAATAGTGATGTTTGTGTCTGGACACATATATATAGTAGTATAGTACGAGTAAAGAGAACTAGATCATTAAACATTATTAAGATTTTTACATATTTTCACGCAACGATTACCGCTTACTATCAGCTGGTTTATTACCTCATTCCAGATATTCCAATTGTAAAAAGTAAAGATTGGCAGCCCTATTATTATTAAACAAACTATCTACATATGTATAAGAGTGTTCTATTTTAACTTTATCAAACCAAGGCCCAAGGATCATTTTCTATAATTTATATTCTCCTATAGAATTTTAATGTATTATGACATGTTTTGTTTTTTTCTGTTGACTTTTGATGGGTTTTCCTTAAAAGTTTTAACGCAAAGCCTTGTCCTCCTACGCTCAAAATGAAATATAATTTTATTAAAAATAGAACATACAGATTTACGTCTTCTAGATCGGACATTACTGCCCTACAGTACCCTACAGTTCCGATTCCGATTTGCCTTAATTCTTTCCTAATAAAAAATCTCTCTTCCAATATTCCGGGCAATAGCCCGGAATATTGGAACGGAATTAATTATTAAATTACAGTTTTCTTAATGTAAAAGTTTACTTGTGTTACTCTGTGCTATTCCATAATGGAGTAATAAGAGCAGAAGATCTATTTTTTTAAACACTCTCGCTTTTTGGTAACCCTTACATAATAAAAAATATTTTTTATGAATCAGCAAGAAAATGGGCAAATGACATTACGTTGTCATACCTGATTGATAACATGATTATGGGATAAAGGCTAAAAAATTGTGACGACTAAGTGTATTTTGGTGATAAATTAGATGCGGACTTATAAATAGAGAACAAAATCATTTTAACTTAGAAAGTAATCTAAAATACGAATACAGTTAAAAAATATCGAGTACTGCACAAAAGATAATAAGTACATATAGTATGTATGTATGTATGTAGTATGTATGTAATTAAGGTGCGTCGAGAGGCAGAGATTAACTTAAATTATATAAGAGGACTATTTTATACTTCCGTAATGTAACATTTTTTATGACTTTTGTTAGACTTTATAATTTATAAATAAAAATCAATTATTATTAAGTAGTTTGTGAATTTACATTCGCATCATATATCAAAATATTTTTTTATTAAGAAATGTATCCAGAGATTTTTTTATTAAGAGATGTAGATATTAAAATCAAGTAACTAAAGCATTGTCAGTAATTTACTCATGCAAGCTTATTCTTGTAACAAAATAAGGTGCGCTTTCTCACGGGTAAAGTAGTAGAAATGCAATATTCAGCTACAAACTCAGTGCAACTTATTATGATATTCTAAAAGGTGGTCAATATGTTTGTCCTTGATAGTTGCATTGATAGCATAATCGAGAAGATAGAAAATGTTACGTAAAACGTGCTATCAAAACATTTATAAGTTTATGACCTATCTGTAATCACAAAGTACGCTATTACAATCAGTATTTTAGAATGGCAGGTATAATCAATAGACATCCAACATAGTTGTTAAGTACAATATATTTCAACACAATTATTCACTAATCACCAAGGAACTTTCTACTGCTTGTAACAACTAGCAGGTACATAATTAGATTTATTTAAATATTGACTCTGGTCAGCAAGAGCATGTTTCACTCCCGTAACCCGACCTCAAGGCGCTATAACAAATCAATAATTTTGACGTTTCAATTTGTTTATTGACACGTTTTTAATCTTCTCCCATTGTTTATACGTTCGGAAGCTCTTGAGGTTTGTCTTAATAAATATCGTCGACAGTTCATACATTTTTTTTCTCATGATGAGTGAACGATTCAAACGCATGCAGTCAGTAATGACCATAAATCTTCACCTGTCTCATTTTATTCGTTTTGTTTGTACTTTGATAAGCGTAACAACCTGACATCTTGTTGAGTTT